ACATTTTTTTAAAATTGAAGGAACTTCCTCAAGGAGAGTAATATAATGTTTTGGATTGGGTCCATGAGTGTGTTTATATCATGCTAGGAGATGGAGGAGGCCGTTGTGGTCATTCCCCCCCATTTTACAGTTGAGGAAACTGAGGCCCTAAGATCATAAGGCAGTAAGTGGCAGAGGCAAGATTTGAACTCAGATCCTTTTAACTCTGACTCTAGCCTCCTTCCCCCCATCCCACACAGAAGGTATGAGAGACTCAAGTCATTTACCAGCTGTGGAACCTTCAGCCTTGACCTCTTGGAACTTCCATTTTCCATCCATAAAATGAGGATAATATTTACACCACATACTTCACAGACTTCTTGGGAAAGTGCTTTGTAGAGTGACCCATTTAATTTTCTAATTAATTAATTAATTTTTAGTTTTCAGCATTCATTTTTATAAGATTTCATGTTCTTAAACTTCCCCCTCCCCAAGACAGCATTCAATCTGATATAGGCTATGCATGTATAATCATATTAAACATTTCCACATTAGTTATGTTATGAAAGAAGTATCAGAACAAAAGAGGAAAACCATGCGAAAGAAAAAACAAAAGCAAAAAAAGTTGAGAGAAGATAGTGTGCTTTGATTTGCATTCAGACTCCATAGTTCTTTCTTAGGATGTGGATAGCATTTTCCATCATGAGTCTTTTGGAATTGTCTTACATCATTGCTTCTACTTCTGCCCTCTGGATGCCTGCCATCTGAAACCAGGATGAAATGGCCATACCCTTTGATCCAAAGATCCCATTACTGCGAAGTACTGCAGGGAAATAAAAGAAAAAAAGAAAGGTCCTATATACACTAAAGTATTTTAGCATCACTTTTTGCAGTGGCAAGAAACTGACCAAAGTATATGCCTATCATTTGGGAGATGGCTAAACACATTGTGGAACATGAATGTAATGGAATCTTAGAGCCCATTAGAAATGGTATGAAGAATTCAAAGAAGTATGAGAAGGCTCAGATGAACAGATGCAGTCTTCTTGCCTTTGCCTGCCCATCCCAATGCTCAAGATAGTCCCTCTCTTTGTTTAAAATGTAGCTTAGTTACTTACTACATGAAGCCTTTCCTGGTCTTCCCAACTCCTAGTCACATCCATCTCAGACTTCTTTGTATCAGGCAGCTAGGTGGTACCATGGACATAGTGTTGGACTTTATGTCAAGAAGTCCTGAGTTCAAATACTACCTTAATATATTTACTAGCTGTATGACCTTAAGTAAGTCACTTAACCTGATTCAATCTGGTTTTTTTTTTCATCGTAAAACGGGGTTAACAGTACCACCAACGTCACCAGTGTCGTGAGCATAAAATGAGATAACGTAAAGCACTTTGTAAACTTTAAAGAGCTTGGTTCTAGTTAACTACTTCGTACTTTGTGTTTATTAGTTTTATATTTGTGTAGCATGTATTGTTAGATGTACTTATTGACTCCCCGTTAGAATATAAGCTAACTGCAAATAGGAATTGTTTGTATTCTTTGTACTTATGTCCCCAGTGCCTTGCACATAAAAGGTACTAATAAATACTGATTTATTTTAGAAATCAGAACCAGCAAAACAATATATGCCACTATAAAAATTTAAGCAAAAAAAGCGGAACACTAAGTAATTAAAGTGACTAAGCTCATCCCAGAGAGGAGTTGAGAAAAGGCACCTCCTTCCTTTCGTTGGAGAATTTGAGGACAAGGGGTGGGAATATGGCATGTGCTGTTAGGAATGGTTGATAGGTTGGTTGATTTTACTGATCTGCTGCTTTCTTTTAAAATCTTTATTGTAAGGGCTGGATGGCTTAACTGGGCCCAGAAGGGACATATTCAAAAATGAATATGATGTAAAAACAAGACATCACTGAAAAGTTAAGATAAAATAAAAATATGTATTCAATGATTTGGAATGACTGTATAAATTGTGGAATGTAAGCGCTCCCCATAAGGAAGGTAAATATGAAGAATTTAAAGAAACTTTGGGAAGACTTCTGTGAAGAGATACAAAATGAAGAAAGCAAAGCCAAAAGAATAATGCTCCTGATGATTGCAACAATGTAAATTAAGTAAACATCCATAGGCAACAAAAGTTGGCTTTTTCTGACTAGTTAATGTTGAGATCTTACCAGAAGTAAAGGACACATCCCCGTTTTCTGTTAGCAGTCGCTTGTTTTGGGGAAATGGATTTTGTAAAGGGCTTGTTTTGATGTTTGTTGGGAAGTGTCTTGTTTCAAAATAAAACGTTAATGAATGTCTTAAAAAAGTAAAACGCCAGGTTTGCTGAAGTTGGTATTATAATCACAGGAACTTTGAAGGCTAGTTGATCAACAGTAATTTATTAAACTTGTACTGTGTGCTTTACATTGGAGATACAAAGAAAAAAAGTATGATGAGCCCTGCCCTCGAACATCTTACAGTCTAAGCAGAGGAAGCACCATGATACTGGTAGCTGATAGCCAACATATATAGCACCTACTATGTACCAGGCACTGTGCTAAGCACTTTACAGATATTTCAATTGATCCTCACAATAACCCTGGAGGAAGGTGTTATTATTACCCCCATTTTATAGATGAGGAAACTGAGGCAAACAGAGGTTAAGTGACTTGCCCAGGGTCACCCATCTAATAAATGTCTAAGGCAGGATATGAACTCAGGTCTTTCTGACTCCAGGCCCAGTACTCTATCCACTGTACCACAACAAAATACATAAATAGATGTGTACATCTCTGTGTCATTTTAGGAGGAAGACACTTGTGACTGGTGAAATCAGGAAGTGCTTTGTGTAGATGTTGGCATCTGAGCTGAGGTTAGATGGAAACTAGCCATTCTAAGAGGCAGAGTTAGAGGGGAATGCCGCTCGTGTGGGAGGTAACCCAGGCTAAGGCCTGCAAGTGGGAGATGAATGGGGCTGTGTGGAAGTAAAAAGAGAGGGAAGGCCAGTCTGGCCAAGGAAATCATTTAGAATAAGCCTGGAACGGGAGGTGGGGCCAGGTGGTGAAGGGCTTTAAAGTCAAATCAGGTTGCTCATATTTGATCTTAGAGGTAATGGGGAGCCAGTGGAGTTTATTGCCATTCTACCCATTCATTGCATGGTTAGATCTGCCCAGCTGTGTAGAGGAGTAGGAGGGGAGACTAATTAGGAGGGTACATGTATTGTAGTTGTTCAGCCTAGAGGTGATGAGGGTTTGGCCTCAGGTGTTGAGTGTATGAATGGAGAAAAAGGTTAGAAATGTGAAAGGTCTTTGTGTGCCTTGGAAAAGTCATTTCACTTATCTGAGCCTCAGTTTGCTTATTTGTAAAGTGGGGATAATGGTACATGATATACCCTACAGAGTTATGATGGAAATGTGTCAAGTGCAGTGGAAGTATAAGGTTTGATTATTATTTTTACTTTTGCATAGAAAATCAGAGTTTTAAAAGACACATTTCTTTTGCACAGACAAGAGCAGTACAACCAAGATTAGAAGAAAAGCAGAAAACTGGGGGGAAATTATTTACAGCAGATCTCTTGATAAAGGCCTCATTTTTCAAATATATAGAGAACTGAGTCAAATTTGTAGAAATAAGAGCCATTCCTCGATCGATAAATGGTCAAAGGATATGAACAGGCAGTTTTCAGAAGAAATCAAAGCTATCTATAGTCATATGAAAAAATGTCCTAGGGGCAAGCTAGGTGGCACAGTGGATAGAGCTCTGGCCTTGGAGTCAGGAGGACCTGAGTTCAAATCTAGCCTCAGACACATAACACTCACTAGCTGTGTGGTCCAGGGAAAGTCACTTAACCCCAATTGCCTCACCAAAAAAAGCAAAAAAAAAAAAACAAAAACAAAAAACCCTAAATCACTATTGATTAGAGAAATGTAAACTAAAACAACTCTGAAGTACCACTCCACACCTATCAGATTAACTACTATGACAGAAAAGAAAAATGATAAATGTTGGAGGGGATGTGGGGAGAGTGGGACACTAATACATTGTTGGTGGAGTTGTGAACTGATCAAACCATTCTTTTATTGTTTTTTGTTTTTTTGTTTGTTTTTTGCTAGGCAATGGGGTTATGTGACTTGCCCAGGTCACACAGCTAATAAGTGTCAAGTGTCTGAGGTCAACTTTGAACTCAGGTCCCCCTGACTCCAGGACTGGTGCTCTATCCACTCCGCCTACTAGCTGCCCCTGATCAAACCATTCTGGAGAGCAATTTGGAACTATGACCAGAGGGCAATCAAACTGTGCATACCCTTTGACCCAGCAATACCACTACTAAGTCTGTATCCCAAAATAACAAAAATAAAAGGGGAGGAAGGACCCATTTGTACCAAAAAAATATAGCCGCCATTTTTGTGGTGGCAAAGAATTGGAAATTGAGGGGATGTCCGTCATTAGGGAATGGCTGGATAAATTGTGGTATATGACTGTAATGGAATATTATTATGCTATAAGAAATGATGAGCAGGATGATTTCAGAAAAACCTGGAAAGACTTACATGCTGGATGAAGTGAGCAGAGCCAGGAGAACATTGTACACAGTAACAGCAACATTAGGTGATGATCAACTGTGCATGACTTAGCTATTCTCAGCAATACAGTGATCTAAGACTGGATCTGAAGGACTTCTGATGAAAAATGCTATCCACGTCCAGAGGAAGGATTGATGGAGTCTGAATCCAGATTGAAACATGCTATTTTTAATTTCATTTTATTTTTGTGTATGTGTTTTTGGAGGGCAGTCTGTGTTTTCTTTTACAACATAACTTATATGGGAATATGTTTTGCACAACTGTATGTGTGAAACTTATAGTAAGTTACTTACCATTTCAGGGAGGTGGAGGAAGGCAGGAAAGGAGAGAGAAGATTAGGAACACAAAATTAAAGGCAAATGAATGCTAAAAATTGTTTTTACATGTATTGGGGAAAAAAATATAATTTTAAAAAAGACATGTTTCCTGTTGTCATCTTTTGTTTTTCCACAGATGGATAGGACTTCCGTCGTCTTTTTCACTGGAATGTCACATCAATGAACATTCTGCACCCCTAATGCCATTTGGTTTATCTGGTAAGGAGATTTTTTTCTTCATCTTTGCTAGTCTAGGAGTTAGTTCTTGTCTTTGCTTGCAGCCTCATCCCTGCCTTGCCCTGTGATTAAACTCTAAAAGGTATAGAGAAGTGGCATGATGGAGTCGAGTTTCTCTCCTTTTTTGGAAAGAACGGGAAGGCAAGGAAATCAGTAAGCATTTACATGGCACCTAGCACATGTCAGACACTGTGCTTTATAAATACTATCTCATTTGACCTGATCCTTGCAACAACCCTGCAAGGAAGGGCTGTTGTCATCCCCCTTTAACAGGTGAGGAAACTCAGACAAACAGAGGTTAAGGGACTTGCCCAAGGTCACACAGCAAGTAAATATTGGAGTCCTGATTTGAACTCAGGTCTTCCTCACTCCAGACTAGCTCTTTAATCACTGTACCACCTAGCTGCCTAAGCATCCCCCTTCTCCTTGTTTCTCTTTTTTATGGTTTAGTCTTACACACCTATATACTTATTCCTAATCATAACCACCCTCCAACTACAGATCTGCAGATGTATGTATATGCATTTTGGTCTGGCCCTGTGATTTCCTGAGCGTGGGGAGTTCTGGCTGAATGAAGATTGGCCTCTCCTCTGTAATTTACAGTCTTAGAGAATTGTCCAGGGCCCTGAAGGCATGGATGACTTTTTGTGACTATTTGTGGTCACACAGCTTGTATGTTTCCAGCAGGACTTGAATCTACGCCTTCCTGACTTCAGGTCTGCCTCTAGAGTGTGTGTGTGTGTGTGTGTGTGTGTGTGTGTGTATGTGTATATGTGTGTGTATGTATGTGTGTGAACCTTACTGGGTTTTTTTTCCATTTCCCTCCCAAAAAATCGTTTTAATATTGAACTGCTTTCCAGTGATAGGTGGTTTTCTTAAATTATTTACCGTGATCTTTTATTTGTACCATTTAGAAAGCTGTCATTACACTGGTCAGATGCATTTTAGCAGCATTTCACTGCTGAAAATGACTGTTTTCACTTTGGTTATATGAATGTAATTTTTATCTATTTCCAACTTTATGTCTTTTACTCCTTTTCCTTGTAGGATTCTGTCACAAGTAAGAAAAGATGGGGAATAAGCAAACAAACTGCCATCACAGTTACTTCTCACAGTTTCTACCTGAAGAGCAGGCTGAGATTGATGGATTGTTTGCTGCCATATCAGGGGGTTTGGAGGTGCTGTCCTGTGGAAAGAACAGAAAGTCTTTACCAATCCCTATCTCTTTGGAAACGTTACAGGCAAGAATAAGAGACAACTTTGGGTATTCTGGAGTGGAGTTTTCCAATTTAACACATTCCTTTGTGCCATTCTCACGCTGGAAGTGCTCAACCATGTATGTGACCCAATGTGGCCATTGATATGTTTTGTGTTATATTCACACTGTGGACAGAATTACTTTTGAATGTAAATATGTCCTCTATCCTGGTAATTTCATATCAGTTCCAATGAAATAATGAAGCAACATATTTTAAGACCCAACTTAGGAATAACTAAAATGCCATCATCCTGCTTCCTCATTTTAATCTCTGTGGGCCTCGAGTTCCTCATCTGTGCAACGAGAGGGTTGGACTGGAGTGACCTCTAAAGTCTCTTCCCCTTTAAATCTGTATTCCTAGAACTAAACAGTGATCAGCTTCTGTCATTTTAGGAAATTAGTCATTGACTATTTTCAGTCTCTGTCTGGCCAAATGTGTGTTATTTAGTTACTCTGGTAAGCTGAAGCCTGACTACTAACTAAAATACTTAGGAAATATCAGCTTCTGGGTATTATGTATTTCTAAAAGAGCATATTAAGATCGAATCAGTTTCTTAAATAATCATTTACTAATTGATATTTTTTAAAACTATCATGTGATGGTAATGGTAAGTTGTATATTATTAAATTTTGCCACTTTGATGTACAATGAGAAAGCAAACCAAATTTACTGAGAAAGATATGTAGTAAATGAAATCCCAATCGAGAATGTGGCAAATAGAATAGAAAAATCAGAAGAAAAGATGGCTCTAAGGGAGTAAAGTTTGTCCGTGTGTTGATTTCATTGGAGGTCATCTTTTATTCGTATGGCTCTCACTGCATGGAAGGAGCAGTGGGTAATATTAGAGCAGCAATGGCACCGTGTTGAGTATTCGGAGACCAGATGGCAGAGTACACCATAGTCTCAGTCCAGGTTCTTGGCTCTCCTGGGTTGGATCCACTCCCTTTTGGGGTTTCTTTAGCTTCCTGGTGCCAACAAACCCAGAAGCCTGAGATTGTGATGACATGGTTTTAGCAGCAGTGACTGGGGAAGGTAGATGGTTTGTAATCAGCAATAAAACAGATCCATGTAATTTTGTCACTTTTGTAGCCCTTGGTAATATTGTAAGATTTTCTTATAGGGCCTAGGTAATAGGTAAGTTTAGCCACTTTGATAGTTTGGTGAATCTAGGGTCTCATCACTGTACATACTCACTCAGAAATTATAGATGAAAACCCATTTCTGCCATCTTCTCCTCTTTAATGTGATCACTCACAAATCTTCTCAGTGGAGTTCCCCACAGCATGTGGAGGATCTCCTTCCAGGTCTCTTGACATTGTGGGGATACCAGTAGAGCATATGGGATAGATGTTGTTTCTCCTTTGTTTTTATTGTACCCATCTCCTTTTTGCATCATTCATCTGACTTCCTTCATGCTGCTTCTTTTGTTCAGTTCTTTACTAGGAATAGGATATAGTCTACTTCTGACCACCATGTACTTCTGACCTCTCTGTTGCCCTTGGGTCAACCCACAACTTGGTGACTATAGTATTATGTCACTAGCAGCCATGCAGCATCATTTGGAAGAATGTTGATGTGAAGATGGGCCTTTGTTTCAAAGACAAACTTGGGGCCATTAAAGATAGTATAATTTCCCAAATGCAATACAGTCTGTTTTTCTCATCTTATTTGATTCCGGGCCCAGTTTATCATTCATCCTTAGTGTCCATCTAAGATCTACGGACTGATGAATGAACTCTGTGGGCTGTCCATGCAACTGAATACCTTCTCTGGACAATAAGCATTCTTCTTTTTTCTAGAAGAAAAAAGTAGATGGTAGGTGGAATTACTCTGAGTGATTATGGATCTCATTTAGGAGGCTTTGCAGTATTCTGGGGCCGTGTTGATCAGTATGGTGTCTTTTGTAAATAGGAAAATATAGAAGATTTCACCATCTATGGGGAATCCATTTTTGATTTGGACACCCCATGACAATGGTAAGCATATTAAGCAAATTCTCTTTTGGAAATAGTTAACAGTGAGCACCATGGGCACTTGTATTCTCTGTGCTATTTTATTCTCTCATGAAACCGTGGCGATGTGGCTTGTCATAGAATGCTGTTTATGAAACCCACCCGCTCCCTTCTCACAACTTCATTAAGGACAGGCAAAGTAAACATATGGGTCCGTAGTTACTTATTTTCTCCATAGCCATTTTTAAGAAGCAGTAATAGCATTGATTTTTTTTTTCTAAGAGTTTTGTATTTGATATTCTCCCCTGTGTTGATTCTAGTATCGATCTCCTGTGTGTAGACATCTTCTAGTCTAACTGCTTTCCCATCTTCCTTTTCTTTCATATCTTTTCTACTTCTTCATCTACTCTCCAAATGTGGTGGCTCCACCATCATTATTAGGTTTGTCATAGAATGTTGATAGCACTTTTCCATTTTTAAATATTTGTCTTCTGACTTCTTCCAGTGTCATTTTTAAATGTTCTTGGGTTGATATAGTTTAATTGGGTCTCTCACCAAACTTTCTGTAAGATCTGCTTCTTGATTTTTTTACAGTATGAGATAATACTTGTCACAATCTCAGTTGATGAATGTTCATTAATTAGTACAGCGCTAATCTGCCAACATTTTCTTCCCCAAGACTTTATACACAGGTTTCTTTTCTAAGTCTTGCCTGCATAGCTTACTGCTGGAAAAGGCAAGAAAATCAATTTCATTTCATCTGATACTTTGTCCTGGTCATGTCTAGTGCCTCTTGACTTTCTTCTTGAACAAAATGCTTTATAATAGGTAGTATGTGATGCTTATATGTAGTTTATAAATCTTTGTCCTGTCTTTATTTCTTACCCCTGCACTAAGTTTTATCCACACTTGCTACAGAAATGCAATTCAACAAGGAGTTAGCTGCCTACAATATTCACAAAGAGGTATTATGGGGAATATAAAAACAGTATCTTATCCTGTCCTCAAGGAGCTTAGAGTCCAACTAAGTAGATAGCTTTTGTAGGTGAAGGATTAGAGGGCTACATGAGGCAGGATAGACTTAAGGGCCAGAATAAAAATATCATGGAAAGTAAAAAAGGGAAAAGTTCAGAGTAACCTAAATGTGCTCTCTGGAAGAAGTGGTACTTAAGCTGTCCCTGGAAAGATGAGAACCGTGAGAAGTGGGGCCGTAGAGTCCGTTTGCATTCTGTGGCCTCAGTTTAAAGAGGAGGGTCTCAGGGCCACTGATGAGACAAGGTGAATGGAAGTGGGAGGTGCTTGTGGACAGGTAGTAAGACAGATGAGGATGAACAGATGAGGTTAAAGAGGACTTGGAAGGCCTAGAAAGGGAATCTATACTTGATCTCATTGGTAAGGAGGTACCATTTCGTGTTCTTGAGCAGGGAGAATAATAATATCTAATTTTAAAAGTTCTGTGAAATGACTTTATGGCAGTGGGAAGTTAATGTTATAAGACTATGTCATAAATGGAAGATCAGCCAAATACGCATTACATTAGGGTTTTGAAATTTACATTGAAATTTAATTTTATTAATGATATAATTGGAGAATCATTTTTGGTCAGAGCAGTTTATGTATACCTGTCAAATGAAAGTGGTTTTTATCAATCTTGATGCTGTAAGCTATTTTGACATTTTCATTTTTTTTTTCATTTTCTTTTCTTCCCCTTCTCTTCTCTCTAAATAGGCTTACCTTGGGGATGCCTTGCCGGAGAAAATGACAGTCAGGCTTTATGACGGAATGAGGAATGTTGACCCGATGGGGACTAACATGGGCCCTACTGAATACGTCACCAAAGAACAGTTTGTAATTTTGATGTCAAATCTATTAAAAGGAAGTATAGGGGAGAAGAGCAACATAATCTTGAAGATGTTACATGTACCTGTTGTAAATGTGAAAGCAAGTCATATCCGAGAGGTAAAAGAAAGATGAAGAACGTTTCAGAGAAATGTGCATTTTCTTGTTTTAATACCTGACACAGAACCCCAAGCTGTATGACTGTTTGGTTCAGGTCAGAACTCTAATGCTTTTGTCAAAACTTCTAGAGCAGTCTTGAAAATAAATTAGGAGGTTCAATTGTGATTTCAGAGTTCATCAGATCATTAGGCACCATATGAGTTTTGTCTGTTGCGTGTGATTTGGGTAGCAAATACAATAAAATCTCCCCCACTACCACCACCAGTCTGTAGGGTTGTGGTGTGTAGCAATGGTGGGAGAATCTGCCTTGATGAGCTCACAGATTCATTAGCGCAGTGGTGTCAAATTCAGAGAGAACCAGGGCCATTAAAATATACATCAGTACCATTACAGACCACATATTTACTTAGTTTGAAAATGTGATGTTATATGTGTTTTATTGTGTTTTTTTTTAATTTTGTTAAATATTTCCCAATTACATTTTAATCTGGTTTGGGCTGCTTTAAGGAGTGGGGCGGCCTGTGTGTTTGACCTCTCTGCATTAGGGTATAGAGGTTCATGCATTTGTTTTATTAGAAGCTTTTTTTCCCAAATCAGAAAATTCTTAGTTATCAGGGAAAACAAAAAGTGGGATCTCAGGTAGAGGTGTTATTTTGTTTCATGGGATGGGAGAGTAGAGAAAACCATTTGAAGCTGAGAGGTAAGCACCTAAAAATTGAAATGAGTAGAAAGAAGGAAAGAGTTTGACAAAATTGACCCTCATTCCCTTTCACTAAAGCAAATGTATGCTTTTCCTTGTTGCTAAGACTTAGTCAAGCAAGGTCATTGCAACTTATATTTGTCAATTAATTTTCTTTTGTATTTCTTCAGCCATTCTTCCTTTGTGGCTTCCCTTCTGTGTAAGCTACAGATTAATATGCACTATTTCAAATGTCCTTCTTCCTTCTGAAATTTCCTTTGTTCCTTGAAATTCACTTGTGATAATGTATTGTATGGTGTATCATACCCTGTCAGTCTCTAAAATCACAGAGTTGAGAGGGACCTTAAAGCTCACCTAGTTCCAACCCTTACTTGAAGCATGAACCTCTTTTAGAATATCCCTGATAAATGATCATCTGGTTGAACACTTAAAGTAACAAGAAACTCACTATCTCTCAAGGTAGTCATTCCATTTTTGGATTTTTCTAATTGCTCTATTTTATATCAAGCCAAAACCTCTTCCACGTAACTTCTACCCATTAATTTTAGTTTTCTCCATTGGACTCCTGTAGAATGAGTTTAATGCCTTTTGTAAATATCCCCTGAAATTTGCATGTCTCTCATCTTTTTCTTTATATAATTTATCAGTGTAATGTTATTGTTATTATTAATTACAAGGTTGTCATAATTTGAGAGACCCAATTAACATTAAGAGTTTCCATAATAGCTGGGCTATAGTAGTTGGCAGTAGTGGGAAGTAAAGTTTCCTCTTCCTGTTTCTCATGCTGAAATGAAATTTATTCTTGGCCTACAGTGAAAATGTTATTAATGATCAAATTTTGATCTTGAAGTTTACAGAGGATCTGATTACCTCTGTGGTACATGTGCTGGACTACAGAAATGAACTGAAAGGTTGGAATGTGAAGAAAACTCAAGATTTTACCTCTGGTGTAAAGGAATTGGCTATTCAACTGTTCTCACCACTGAAACGAGGTGAGTTCCCTTTTAGCCCTGTCCTTGGAGATATAAGTGACTAGATACAGAGCAAATCGGGTACTCACAAGGTCCCTGTTAACTGAAGATTAGGAGAGGGGACTATGTAAAATCATGAAATTGTTGAGTTGTGAGGGATCTGAGATCGCAGCTACCACCCTAAGTGTGGAGCACATACTAACGTCTCCAGGCCTCACTTGAAGACCTTTGACCATCACTCCTCCCCATGGCAGCCTGTCTCATTTGGGTGCAACTCTGATTGTTAGGGAGTTTGGGGAAGGGGTTTTCTTCCAGTTCTGCCCTCTGTGACCAACAAGTCTAATTTCTCTTTGTTGAAATGCTGGTAGCGTCAAAGAAATTCTAGATATGAGCTCAATAGACTTAGATGTTAACATTTACTTTTCCCCTTTACTTTGACTTAAGTCGGTTTATAGTTAGGAAATGGGAGCTGAGGTGAGCCTGTAGCACAAATTGCTCAGAGGAGGAAATGAAATTCAGATATGGCTGTCTGTATTCAAAAAGTGTAGAACATCCTTTTATTTTATTTATTTATTTTGGGGGGCAAGGCAATTGGGGTTAAGTGACCTGCCCAGGGTCACACAACTAGTAAGTGTCAAGTGTCTGGTCTGAGACTGGATTTGAACTCAGGTCCTCCTGACTCCAGGGCTGGTACTCTATCCACTGCGCCACCTAGCTGCCCCCTAGAACTTCCTTTTAAAAGAAAGATCCTGAGAGGCAACATGGAGAACAGGATAGAGAACCTGTCTGGGAATCAAGATACCTGGGTTCAGATTCTGTCTCTGACCCATAAAGGCTCTTTCACCCTAGGTATTCTCAGTATTCTAGGAAGTTCTCTTAGGACTATAAATTGCAGGATAGTTGTTGATCTGCATTGGTAGATGGAGTATCCCTTCCTTCCCTCCCTCTTCCCTGCCTCTTGCTCTTTAGCCCAGTGAATTCGTAGGTATAGAATTTTTAAAAACAACAAAAGAAAACAAAAATGATATTTAAAAAATGCAGCATGGCATAGTGGATAGAAAGCTGATCCTGAAGGCAGGAAGAGCTTGGTCCAAATTCTGCTACTGACATATACTGGGCAGAGTGACCCCAGGGTAAGTCACTTAACTTCTTAGTATTCCAATGAATGGATGGTACAGCAGATAGAGCACTGAGCCTGGAGTCAGGCGTTCAAATCTGGCCTCACTCATTTACTAGCTGTGTGACCCTGGGCAAGTCACTTAACCTTTTGCCTCAGTTTCCTCATCTGTAAAATGAACTGGAGAAGGAAATGGCAAACTACTCTAGTATCTTTGCCAAGATAACTCCAAATGGAGTCAAAAAGAGTTAGACATGACTGGAACAACAACAACCCCAGTTAATAGCAGCAAAACTGTTGCTGATTTACATTGGTCCAGGGATTTTCCCAGCAAGAGGAATATTGGGTCTGACCCCAAATTTCATGTTTGGAACAAAACAAACAAAAAGAAAGGTCATGCCTAGGATGTCAAGAAATGGGTAAGTAGAAAGGAAACTTTACAGAATAACATTGGTATCTTTTAGCAAATTATAATGAGCAAAGTCATACTCAGAAAAAGACATTTGTTCTATTAGAACAAGCTTGAAAAAAATTTTTAAAAGCCAGCCCAGGTCATACTTCTTCTGCAAAATATGGAGTGTATGATGGATTCTTGTATGTATTTTAGAGATCTCAGCATAGTATAGTGGAAAGAGGATTGATCTGGAGTCAGCAGAACAGATTCCTGGCTCTGGCTTTGCCTCTGACACCTAAGGCTTCAGGGTTTTGACCTATAATTTTAAGGGATTTGAATCAACTAACGTGTTTTGATTTTAGTATCGTGGTACTGCTTCCCATTGTTGCTCTTTCTTCCCTCCTGCTTTCTACTGTCTTCCTTAATGCTAGACTGTGAAGAGATCTTTTCCATATGGCAAGTACCAGTATTAGTGGAGCAATATGGGATGACCACTTAACTGGAAGTTAAGGCTCTGAGTTCTACTCTTGGGTAATAATAATAATTAGCATCTATGTAGTGCTTGAAAGTCGGCAAAGTGCTTTGCATGTTTTAATTAATTTGGTTTTGCTAACTGTCTGATCCTAAGTAAATCACTTCTACTACCTGTGGGCTGGCTTTCTATTCCATAAAATGAAAGGTTAGTGATGTGGCAGAGTGGGAAGAGCCCCAGATTTGGAATCAGAAAACGTGTGCATGGTTCCCGCCCTCCTAGAGGACAGGCCAATGGGTGACATGACAGATATACCAAACAGCTCTCATACAAAGTAGAAAGTGGAGGATTTGGGAGCCTCAGATTAGTGGTCTAATGGGAGGAAAGCTCACTCCCTCCTTGGTGTGCCCTGGGGAAAGAAAAGCAGGTAAGTCATCTTCAGAAGCTAAGTCCTTTCCTATTCTCAGTCATACCTGTATCAGATCCTGATCTCACAAAGAGGTCAGAGAAACCCAGGGGTAATAAGATATAAATAAAGCTGAATGCCTTGTCAGGGTTGGGGTGGGGAAATGTAATATACCACAGTTGTAGCTGAGTATAATATTTCAATCCTCTGGGAGCACAGTTTATTATTTAAAGTTGGCCAAGTTACACAAAAACCTTATTGATGCTTGAGGAGAGGTAGGTGTGTCATGCTTGTTCCAGGGCAATGTTCCCAGAAATAGCACCCAAAATATCTCCAGAACAGCTTATGTTTGTCCACAAACTCTTAGAGGTTAGGCAGGACTGACCTGGCTGCCATTTGTCTTTGTGTTTTTAGCCTCTCCCTTTAGCTCCCTTATTAGGTGTCCAGTATCTTCCAGCTGTCCAGAACCCCCCTTCCTATCAGAAATAGAAAGGACTTGATTTTCATCCATTTGTGTTTGTTGACTGATTTATATTTAAGTGTGAACAAGTTTCCAATCATGTTCCCTCAACCATGGGTATTTAGCCTTTTAGCTCCCTATTTTAGAATGAAAAGCTTTGTTTCTCCTAAGGATGCTTCTGGCATCAGCACGTTGGCAGAAGGAAACTTCAATGGGATAGATGAACCGGGAAATTACTCTGGAAAATCAGACCAGATCATAGGATTTAGAGCTGGAAAGAATCTTAGCTATCATACGGGTTGGTCCTTTTTATTTAAGGTGACTGGGGTGGGAGGTGCAGAAGAAATGATCTCCAGGGTCTTTTCCTCCCTCTCCCCATGCCTCCTCTTGAGAGGTCAGTCAATCAGCAGCATTCATTAGCTGCCTGTTATGTGACTGACATTGTGCTAAGCACTGAGAATACAAAGGCAAAATTGAAACAGTACCTGTGCTGGGAGAACTAACAGGGATCTGGGGAGATAACAGAGCCCTGTCTGTGACCTCAGAGGTCATCTGTTCCACCCCCTTCATTTTATAGATGAGGAAACTGAGGCCCGGAAAGAAATGTCAAAGCCCAAGGTCATACAAGTAGACTAAGTGGGTGAACTGGAATTTGAACTTTGACTCCAGATATCCTGTGTACCAGAGAAGTCATGCTGGTGCTGCCCCATTCTTTGAAACTGTCAGGGCAGAAGAGTTGGTCATTCAGGCTTCTTCCGGGGTGTGGAACTTCTCTTGTTCTAACACTGGCAGACGCTTTGCAAACCCTTTCTTTCCAGACTTATGTCCACATCATTCCCTTCTCTACTTGGGACCTTCTACCTTAACCCATCTCTCTGCTTCCATAGCTTTCAAATATCTATCTATCTTGATTAGATGGATAGATTTTATATATATGTATATGTATATATATATACACACATATATATTATATGTATGTATATATTCCCAGCACATTTAGTTTTTAGTTGATATTTAAGATGTCTTCATTTCAAAATCCCTTACCTCCCTTCTGATGTTCTAGAATTCATCTCTATCCCTTCTGTATTATAATAATGCTGTTTATTACAGTATCATTAAATCTCAAAATCTTTGATGACAAAATTTGACTACAAAGTGTGTTGAAACATATCTTCTTTATAAAGAGAAATATTTTTGGATTTGCATTTTAACCAGCAAAAGGTTAAAGTCAATAGAATGAGTTGTTAATTGTGGAATTTCATTTATCAGTAGGCCTTTGGGAGTGGTAGGTTTTGGCATCTATTAAAGTCATATCATATAGGTGACGTCTTAATTCTACCCAATCCTATGCCTGAACCTGATCCACTGGTAACTTAAATTTCAAAATTATTTTTATGGACTTAGTTAGGAACCTAAACATCAATTAACATTGTTTCTGTTGGAAAATTCATAGCAGTCTATTTCTTCTTTTGTTAATCTGAGTATTTCATATTTTTGTTTGTTAGGGTTTTTTTTGTTGTTTTTTTTTAAGGCAATTGGGGTTAAGTGACTTGCCCAGGGTCACACAGCTAGTAAGTGTCAAGTGTTTGGTCTGAGACTGGATATGAACTGAGGTCCTCCTGACTTCAGGGCTGGTGCTCTATCCATTGCACCACCTAGCTGCCCCTATTTCATATTTTTGTGAGCATTCATCTGTTTTCTTACATGTAATGCATGTAATTGGGCAAAATAGTTTCTGATAATTTCATTTGTTTCCTCTTTAATTTCTGCTTTGTAAGTTCTCCTTTTTCATTTTTGATATGAACAATTTGGTTCTCTTTTTTAAAATCAGGTTAGCTAAGTATTATTATTATTGTTTTTTTATTTTTATTTTTAACATGTGTTTTTAAAACTTTGGGTTACAAATTTTCTCCCTTCCTCCCTCCCCACCCACCCTCATTGAAAAGGCAAGCATCTTGATACAGGTTATAGATGTGTAGTCATGCAAAACACTTCCATAGTAGTCCTGTTGTGAAAAATTAAGTATATTTCCCTTCATCCTATCCTACCTCCCATTTATTCTATTCTTTATTTTGACTCTGTCACTCCTCAGAAGTGTTTGCTTTTGATTATCCCCTCCCCCAATCTGCCCTCCCCTCTGTCAACCCCCTGCTCTCTTGTCCCTTTCCCCCC